AGTATTTTGTAGTTTATTTACCATAATAAAATATTTTTCTAAGTATGTCTATTAAGTTTTTTTTTATATACATTTAGTATCATAAAGTATTTTGCAGTGTAACTTTGCTTTGGGCAATTAAGGGTGCCAGACTCGTATATGAAAAAATAATTTAAAATGCCAAATGGATCATAAAATATTTTAGCAATTAAAAAAATATTTCAAGTGCTGGATGAAGCTTAATTTTTTTTTCCATCCAACATATTTAAACTTATGACATTACTTAAAGGGAATAAATATTAAACTGGTACTTAATTAGTTATTGTTGAGTAGATTTGGCAAATAAATACTAGGACTTTATTACTCCTCCAATCCTAAATATAAGACCAATTTTATAGTGTAAATTACACTACAAAATGAGTCTTACATTTATAATCGGAGGGATTATCGCATAGGGATTTGACTTAGTGGACGGATTTTAAAAAAAAAAAAAGACACACTAGACATAAACTAGGGTCTTATAAGCTTATCTCCGGAAAAATGGAAGTCTATATGTAAAAGATTGTGCCTGTGTGTGTTTTTGGTGCATATAATATTGCTGGCTGAATCAATTTATAATAATGTGTTAGGTAATTATTAATATATTCAGAATACAAAATATTCCACTCTTTCATGTTTAGATATGTCATGTGAAGGGCACGTGATTGTTCTCTTATTTCTTATCTTGCCGTTCCACTTGCTTGTGAAAAAAGAGAATGTTAGAAAGTGTATTGTCCAAGAGAACACATTTATATGTCTTGGTCATTTCAAGTCTCTGGAATCTTTAATCTTCCAAAGCATGAATATCTTTTAATATGGAGAAAAATAATTTATAAGTTTAAAACAAGAAAAATTAAATAATACCTTCGCTCTTTAAATTAAATAAGAGTGAAATAACTAATTTGTGAATATAAAAAAACATTAGTTAAGCTACCTATTTGTAACAAATGAGTATTATTTTTTTTTCTAGAATATTCTTGTTAATAATGTGAATTAAAATGGAAACCTTTCAACAGATGTAATTATTATGAGAACTACTTTGAAGAAAAATAAATAGACAGAAAAAACAGAGGTTTTATATTTAGGATCAAATTAAATCCTCAACTATCTCTTATATTTAGAATCCACAGGAACAAATACAAAATATCAACATTAATTTAATGTTTTTAATATAGGTAATTATATGAACCCCTTTGATTGGAAGAAATATTTGTTGTGAGGTCCCCAGAGAAGCAAGGCTTTGAGACATGAAAGCTTTTCTCTGGGAACATGATTTGGAATAAGAACACAAGTGAAAAGATAGAGTGTTTCGTGGTCAAGAGAAAATAATAACAAAGAAGACATTAAAGAAAAAGGTGAGATTTGACCTCACAAGTCCAACTGATCCACTCAGCACCAACGTCCATGGTCATCATCAAAGCCTTCGACTTAGATGCTTTCATGGCCGATGTCGCCCATGGATTTGGCTTTGGTGCATATTCTCATCATATGCACTAGCTAGATATATACACTTTTTGTCTGATTTATTTTAATTTATTTTTTGTTATATTATTTAAATTTATCATGGCATTAAAAATGGGATCGGTAGAGACATTAGTTCAAGGAATAGAGATCTGATGATGGTTAAATCATAATCAACCTGGTTATGACTAAATATACAAAATATTCATGTATAATCATAAAATGAATAATATTTAAATAGAAAAAAATATATTTTATGATTAAATGGAATGTTCATAATATAAATAACATATAATCTAGCAAAAGAGAATTTTCTTAGGCACAAATTTGATAAACTGCTTTTTTTTTTTAAACTCAAAACTATGTTATTTCAAGCTCAAAAGGGAAAATATTAAATCCAACCCAACGAATCTATTCAAAACTCTTAATCAAGACCAACTAAGAAATTAGTTAATTGGGTTTTACAACAAAAAATTATAGAATCTAAATCATCTAAATTAAATATAGATAACTCAGATAAGGTGTCACCAAGTGTACATCTTTTTAAATCCGTGGAAGCAAGTATCGACAATTTAATCTAATAAAAATATGTTGTCTTAATTCAGTCATTAAAATTTCTAAAATCTCATTTTTACGTTTCAAAAAGTATTTCATTATTGTTAGTGATAATTATATCATCCTCACGCTTAGCTTAACCTCCTCAACATATAGTCAAAGAACATAGATCACGCAGCTCGTACCATATCATCGGATGAATTGAACTTTTGTAAGATGTTTAATTATCATCAAAACATGTCAAAAAAGAAATGAACCAAAAATTGTATTGCCATGATTATTTACAAGGTAAAATCACTATGGATCCTCAAGAAATTAACGTAATAACCTAAATGTTTCCCAACAAGTAGCACGAACCTATTTTTATTTCTTATATCAAAACCTGTCATTATATACAGCTCAATTGTTGTAATTTTTTTTATAATTACATTCCTTCTTTGAGGCATGATAATTTTTCCTTATTTACAATGGTATGATAGTTTTATTTCCTTTTTCAATAAATACCATTCTAAATTTGAGTATTATTGAACTTGAATATCTAGGGATAGCTCAGTCTCCATCCATGAAATTTAAATATTTGACATTAAGTGATAGGTATCGAGTTTTAATTTTCCCACTAAATCTAAACTATATCTAAGTCATGCAATTGCAACTTATATGTGTTTATTTGCTAAGAAGCTTAAGATAATAACAATATATGCTATAAATAAATTAGTGTCTTTTTAGCGTATTGAAATTCCAATTTGAATGAATAGTCATCATCAACTGACTTGCCCGACCACAAAGAATGTGAGATCAATAATAGAATGCATGCTTAAGATAATGACAATACTATGAATAAATTTCTCCCTCCACTCCCTGATATACAAGCTAATTAGTTGGGTGTTAGCTAGATTTAATTCTAAGCATAAACAATTTCAATCAACTTTGTTTGTTATGTTTATCATCTTTTTCAAACTAATTTATATAACTTATTAATTAATTAATATCTTAAGAAGATCATGTCATATTTATTATAATTAATTAATTAGATTTTTTTTAATATACTCAAATTAATTACGTAAATCTTATGTCAAAGATCAGAAAGAAATAATGTTATTTGTATAGAATAATGATCATCATTTGACTTGTCCTACCACAAAGAATCTTGAGATCAATAATAGAATACAGCTTCATGAGTAAATGAAGGGCTAACATCTCAATTGAAACAGTGTTGGCTGAGATAATGATGGTAATGGGGGACAGCCTAAAAGTGAAGGAGATATATAGGGCCATTGTGTTGGCTACTCCACTATCACCATTATATATGCCTTGTCTCTCTTGTTTCTTTTTAACATGTCAACATTGTCATGCTTTCTCTACTTCCTTTATCAGCATGTTTCCCTTCTCTTTTCTCTTTTATCCCCAAACATCATTATATTATATTCCTTCGGTCATAGAACTCTTTTTGTAGTGTAATTTACTCTACAAAAGAGATCTTATATTTAGGACCAGAAGAGTATTATATTTATATATGTGTGCTTCTTTATCACTTACTATTACAACTTTCATGCACCTTCTGCACATTTTGATGTAATTTATTTTGGTTTAAATCATCATTATTAAAATTGGGCTATCCTGCTCAGATAGTCTAAATTAAATTTCATCTGAATTATTCAGATTATCGTTTTTTTTTTGGGTATATATGATTATGTAGCAGTTAAGAGATAACTACATATGGGGCTTATATACTCTATATAGGAATGAATCACACTATTTATAATTTAATACTCCTTTTGATCCTAAATATAAAAACTTCTTAAGGAGTTTATTTTGGTCACAATTAAATATAAGATCTCAATTCATATTGTTTTTCAAATTTATGAATTTTTTTCTTCAAATTATTTATAGTGATTCCATATGTTAAGGGGACATTTATCAAAGAGTAGTTTTGATGCAAATTATTAGACAGTATATTTTAGGAAAATTAACATATATTTTTAACAAATAACTAACTAAACTAATTTCCTAATGTATCTAAATTGATTATATTTAACTTCTTATATTAGGAAGTGGATGGAGTAGCAACAGTAATTTCTACACGTTTTGTTGAGGTTTCATGTAACTGAATGGTTAAGTAACTAGGCTATGTGATGACTGAAGGATAATAAACTTGAGGGTTGACCAAAGAAGTCATATATTATAAATTAAAGCAAAAAATAAGGTCAAAGATGTGAGGCTATGGCTAGCGTGTGAAACCAAACATCTATTGCATGCACTCATGCTGTTCAATGTGCAGCTTACCATGATTTTGGAACTTAATAGTGGCAAACACTATCCCACCCACCTAATTTATACACACAAGTTATTGTCTTCTTTTTTTTCTTCTTCAAGATTATTTTTTGTTGCGCAGAATCTAATTATATTAAGAATTATAAAAAACTAATTTGTAAATAAAAATAGTTCTAATTTTTAGAGCTCAATTCAAGGTAATAAAAAATATTATTATTAATTTTTCTATAATAAAAATACAATGAATGTTACATATTTCAATTTTAATTTTTATAGAAGTCAAAACTTTAAAAAAAAAAATTTGTATAGATACTTTTCCAAGCAGGCTTCTCTTATGTTCAGATTCGTTGAATTGTGAAAATGGTAGGCCAACCCATTAGTCACATATGTATGCCCCTCCACATCTGAATTCACGTGGACACCTTCCCTTTTACCCACTTGTCACATAAAGATTCGTCCACCTCTTCATCCCATTCAAGATAGGATTTTCCCTCAGCTAATAGAAAACTGTGTTGGTTTAAGAACAAAATTAAATAAATTAGGCTAATTTAAATAAAGAAAGAAACATATAAACGTTATTTTTATTGGGTTTTCTCATCATTCCCTCTTGGTGCATTTACATGCTTTTCTTCCATTTCTTTTTGTATATATATGAGGGCATTTGTATGGTAAGGCTTCAAAGTTCAAACCTGTGACTTCAAATATTTTCCAAACTTTGTTTCTTTAGCAGCCCCTCTCTCTCTCTTCCAACATGAGGACAAAGACCACGTCTTCTCTTGCATCAAGGCCAAGCCATAGCCATCAGTACAGAAGCAAAGAAATCCACCACCACCACCACCATGGCGATGTGGTTGAGGAAATTGAGGGACTTATCAGAGTTCACAGAGATGGAAACGTGGAGCGACCCCAGATTGTGTCCTGTGTCCCAGCTTCACCCTGTCCAGATCTCAATGTGATTTCAACAGACATGGCCATTGACAATTTCACAGGCACTTGGGCTCGTTTTTATGTCCCTAACACCACAGTTTCCCGCCATAATCCTCACCAGAAGCTTCCTTTGCTGATCTATTTTCATGGAGGTGGTTTCTGCGTTGGTTCTGCTTCTTGGGTTTGTTACCATGAGTTCCTTTCTAAGCTCTCATCCAAACTCAGTTGCTTGATCATGTCAATAAACTATCGTCTAGCACCAGAAAACCCTCTTCCTGCAGCTTATGAAGATGGGTTCAAATCCCTGTTATGGGTGAAACAGCAAATCCTATACCAGTGTGAAGCTAGTCAATGGTGGATTCAAAAATGCAACTTTTCTAGAATCTTCCTAGCAGGAGATAGTGCTGGTGCCAACATAGCCTATAACGTAGCCTTAAATTTATCAACACACGAAGCTTCATCAGCCATGAGGCCTTTGGATGTGAAGGGTATGATTCTGATACAACCTTTCTTTGGAGGAGAAAAGAGAACAGCATCAGAGAAGAAGATGGGTGAAGCTCCAAGCTCTGCACTGAGCTTAGCTGCTTCTGATACGTACTGGCGCTTGGCTCTGCCTCGAGGTTCGAACCGGGACCATCAATGGTGCAACCCATTGGGACAAGAGTCGGTGAGATTGGAGGAATTGAGGCTGTGTCCTGTGTTGGTTTGTGTGTCGGAGTTGGATATATTGAAAGATCGGAACTTGGAGTTGTGTGGTGCTTTGGTGCGAGCTGGGAAAAAGGTCGAACATTTGGTGTGCAGAGGGGTAGGTCACGCGTTTCAGATTCTAAGCAAATCTCAGATATCACAGAGCCAAACACATGAATTGATGGCTCGTATCAAATCCTTCGTCATGGGTCTATGATCTCTTCTCCAATTTACCTGTTTGAACAGGCCTATGTGTGTCTATATATTTAGATATTGTGCTAGCATATATAGAGAGATAAAAACCCAACAGAGAATGAAAGGTTTGATATGATACTTCTTACTTTTTTTACAGGTATAATAGATAGATGATTTCAACTTTTGTAATGAAAAAAGGAACCATGTTGAAAGAGCTTTATCTTTTATTTAGAGTGTAACTTAAATCTGAATTGCTCAGTAATAACATATTACTTCTGATTTTAATTATAAAATCTCATTTGTAAACTATAAATAAAGTCTTATAATTAAGACCGGAAGTAGTATAACCAATACTATTAAGGAGGAGATTCAAGTTTAGCTCCTACATGCTACATGGCAGTGAATGTAATTGAGTTTGCCTCCTTGTGAGAAAAGGCTATTGATATGGATATTTGTGGATTTGCAATCTTGGCTTATTAAAAAAAATTAGAAGAGTAAAAGAAAAAGCACTAAAATGCAATTTTATTTCTGTAATTTTAAAAAACGTTTCAGTTTAATCCTTTAATTTTAAAAAATATTTTTTTTCAATCCTTTAATTAGTCTCAAATGATATATGTAACAATTATTGTTATTTTGAACATTAAATTTAATATGTGAGTGTTTAAAATATATTTTGTTAAGATTTAAATTTTCAATATTAATATTTTTTATCAATAACAATAAGGTTAAAGGATGTAGATGACATTTTACAAAATTAAGGAAATAAAATAAAACATTATGTAAAATTAAAAGATTAAATATGTATTTTCTGCCTAAAAATATAAATAGAAAAAGTAAACCTTATGATTGATTTTCTTTCCTTTTTAATGCCATTCGTCCTTTCTTTTCCCACATGCTTTGTGTGGAATACTATTATCTATCATGTTCAAATGATGTTTTTCCTTCATTTGAGTACACTAATGAATTGGTCTTCAGATTTGTACAACTTTTGGAATGCATCAACCAATTTTAAATCATCAAATTGATGGATTGGTGTATGTCTCACAAAGGAGAATTAAATTGAAACCAAAACAATTGCTTTGAAGAATAATGTTATGTTAGTGAAATTAATTAAATATTAAGGGAGCATGGAGATAGAAACGCTTGTTGGTTTGGTATGGCATGCGCTAAAGAAGATGAATGATTATATGTTGACAAGCTAAGATGTTGATTAAATGATTTAATTAAGCACCTTAAAGAACATGTGGCCCACATTTTTTATTCAAATTAAAAACCGTTAAGTATAAAAATTAGTCCCTCCAAATTAACATATTATAATTTAAATATATTACTGTAAGCTAAATTGTCGCTTATCTCACGTTTCATATAAACACACCTATTTGCGGTAGTTCAATTTCAATATTTTAATATACAATATAAGATTTATTGCAAGTCATTCTAAATTGTGAATAACGTGACTTATTTTAAATTTACATGATGCCAAAAAAAGTCTAAATATTATATTAAATACATAAGAAGTTACGATATTAACAAGTTATAAATATTGTGATTACAGCTCATTTCTCAACCTATATCCAATGCATGGAACCCACTTGTATAATTTCATGAATTTTTTTATTTCTTTTTTGGCCTGCATGAATTTTTTTATTTCTTGCTCATCACGTCCTATGAATTTTAAATAAATATATATATTAGGGTAAACGTGGATCTGGCATATTGATTTTATTTCTTATATGTATTGAATACTCTGATTTTTTTTTTTTTAATTTACATCCATCATCCTAATATTTAGAGTGCTAAATGCATGATAAATATTAAATAAAATCAGAGTACTATTGATTTTTTCTTTTAATTCATGAATTAGGGATTTGATTAAAAATTGAGCTACCCCACTCCTCGTTTTCATACCAACTCCTTCATCATCTTCTCCCAGTAATAATTGAGGACTACTTGCCAAAATTTGAACACTTTATTGTCAATATCTGAGCACTTAGTTGTATCACATTTTCATCAAGAAATTTGGACCTTCTTCTCTTTTGGTAAAATATTTGGACCTTTTACATCGGAACATCTTTTCATTTCTGTCCTATCCGACGGGCTTGCTGAGGAATTTCATGGTCATGTGATGCGAGCCACAAAATGCTACTCTTTTCATTTTTAATATATAATCTAATTAAAGAATTGATGTTGATTATATATACGAGGTTTATTTCATATATTTATTAAATTAAATTTTTTAAATTAATCTTATTAATACTTCCTCAATAATAATCAAATAGAGAAGGAAGAAAAAAATTAAGAAATATGCTTAAAATATTTTTAATATTGACATATTAGTTATTTGGCTCTTATATTAATGATTGAAAATAGCAATCATTCAAATTTTTGCTTCAATTTTCGTCCCAACATCCGACATTGAACCAAATGTAATTGGAAAAAAAAAAAGGATTTTTGGGCAATTGAATGAAATTAGGAAAAATGACAGATGAAGAAGATAGAATATATGATATTTTAATTTAGGAAGCTAAGGAAATGTAATGACAGAGAGGAAAGTCCTTTTCAAATTGAAATTTTGAAATTCAGTGAAATAACAAAAACACCCTTAGTCTTTTTTTTTTTTTTTTTAAAAAGGGCTCAACCCTCACTGGTGGCCGGCCAGCTGTGTGGTGGTCGCCAGCGGTTTTTCTCTGTCATAGCTTTTTTTTTCGCCATGTGAGAATATTGTATGAAAGTAGTGGGAGTGAGATTTGATCCCACTACCCATTGGTAATTTGGACCAACAGAAAAAAAGATGACCATTGGGTCATCTGTAATATCCTAAACTTTATTTTAGGATTTAGTTAAAAAAAAGTTTAAAAATAAAATAAAATAAAATAATAATATTTTATTATTATAATAAAATAATAATATTTTAATAAATTAGGGGGAAAAAAAGGAACTAGCTTTCCACCGAATTCAGTGGAAAGCTGCACCATTTGACTAAGGGAGAAGAATTTGGGGGAGAAGGAATTAATGAAGGAAGGAAAAAATACAACAGTAGTTGGGAAAATAAAAGATAAAAGAGATAGCAAAAGGCAGAAGATGATGGGGCGTGAGAGAGAGGAGAAGAGAGAAAGAGTGCGGGAGAGAACAAGCAGAGTTGCGGTCATTTTGAAAGAAAGGGCAAATTTTGAAGATAATTTAGGTACACAAATATACTTTCTTTTATCAAACTTTCTTTATAAATATTTCATATATATTTTATGCTTCGTAATAGTAGTATTACTATAGTGATTAGAAAAAATTTTGAAACTTACATGTGGGATAAGTTTTAAGTTTTGGTAATAGATGATTATAGAAATTTAGAGGTGAATGAGTTGTTAATTTTAATCGGTTTAGTTTTGTCTATTTATTAGTTTTTAGTATTTAAATTAATTTTTCTAGTTAAAAAATCTGTTATATATGATTTATATAATATTTTTACCTATTAAAATTAGGTTAAATAATTTATTTGGGTACTTTGACATATTATTGAGATTCTAATTGGTTTATTTTTTTATTGGGTAATTGGAGGTTTCAAAATAATTATTTTAGCTAAAAATTTGATTATTTATGAAAATATATATATAAGGGTTATACCATTAAAATTTTGATTAGATTATTTATATATAAATATTTGAGGTACTATTGAATTTTTAATGGTTTAGTTTTGAAGTTTAAACTTTAAATGGGATTTTTAGAATTTAAAATATAATAATTTTATATTTAGAAATATTGAAAAATTCTTTTTATTGAAGTAAATAATCTGAAGGATGTAAATAAATAATTTGGCTTATTAGAAGATTACAAGTTAGTTCTAAAGTACATAATTTTGGGTTATTAGAGTTGTGAGAATTTAGAATGAAAATTAAATTAAATTAGGAATTTAATTGATATGTAAGCATAATTAATTAATTAATTAGCTTATATTAATATGTGGTTATATTAATTGTGTAGATTAATTATTGATTGAGCAAATGATTGACCTTGTGTAATCCTTTCCATTACTTTAGCGAGAGGTAACTACTTTTCACTTGTTATATGTGCTAATATGTTGTTTGTGAGTATTTTTCTATTTTTAAATAATATTTGTTATTTGGAATTCGAGTAGATATAGTATATCTTTTGAGCTATGAAAATTGTCTTGTGGGATTTTTGGAATTGCGATTGAGAAGTTTGAAAAAGATATAAGATTATATCTTATGGATTATACTGGGAAAAAGATTGAGACATTTTTGTTATATTATGAATAGTTGGTTGTTGTTTGGATTTTGGATTGAGCTCTATCCTACCATGTGGTAAGGCCGCCATTGGTGCACATTGGATGGCTTCCTTCGTCCTTAGAGTAAGGGATAGACCTTTATGGCTTTTTATTCATCCCCAAAGTGTGGGATAGGCCTATAATAAGGGATAGGCCTTTGTCACTACTTATTTGTCCCCCAAAGTGTAGGATAGGCCTATATGTCGGATTGATCTCCTATAGTGAAGGATAGACTTATGTGGCTTGTGTGTTAGCTCTCGTAATGAGAGTTTGGATGATTGAGATTATTTGAATATACATATTTGTATTTTTATTGATATATATATATTGAGATTTAATATTTGTCCCACTTGATATCTCATGAGCATATGTCAGTATGTATGATGAGTTGGAAAGTTAGTTACTGAGACGTTTGTCTCACCCCCATGGTTTAATATTTTCAGGTAATAGCTCTAGGGGAAGACGACGGAGGCTTAGCTATAAAATTTATCTTGTATAGCCTCTTTTTTGTCATGTGATGAGTATTTATATATTGTCACATAGTGCTCATCTACTTTGATGTTGTAAATTAATACTTTTGATTACTGCTATTTGATGAGAGGGCTGTTAGAAGGCCAAAGGTCTCTAAGACTTTGTACATGACATTCTTTTGAAAGTATGGGCTTTATTTGGTTAAGGGTTGAATGATATTCGGGACTTCGGAAATCCAAGGCCCAAGTTACTTATCAACGTTGTTTGTGATATATGTTTATTTCTTTTAATCATAATAGTGATTTTAAAATTTTAAGGTTTCTTCTTTTCTATCAAGGTTAATATTTCAAATAAATTGTTTGATTTAATCTAAATGAGTTTTAAAAGGACGGTTGTCACACCATCAAAGACTTCTTAATTTTATAATGCAAACAAAAATATAAGTTGACTCTTTTACTGTGACTCTAGCCCATGACAAGTCTTAATTGAGAAATAACAAGTTTAAATTTGATATTAAAAACAACTTTTCCTGATATATAACAAAAATAACACGTACATTAATTAAAAATGAGAATAATTTATTTGAAAACAACATGTCTTTATTGAAAAATGACAAGTCTAAACTTGAGATTAATAATGTGTTTTTTCTTGATACATAACAAGAAATAGCATGTACATTAATTAAAAATAACAATAATTTATTTGAAAACAACATGTCTTTGTTGGAAAATGACAAGTTAAACTTAAAATTAATAATGTGTCTTTTCCTAATATATAATAAGAAATAACACGTACATTAATTAAAAATTACAATAATTTATTTGAAAATGATATGTCTTTATTGGAAAATGATAAGTCTAAACTTGAGATTAACAATGTGTCTTTTTCTGATACATAATAAGAAATAGGATGTATATTAATTAAAAATGACAACAATCTAAACATGTCATTTTCAAATAAATTATTGTCATTTTTAATTAATACACGTGTTATTTCTTGTTATGCATCAGGAAAAGTTGCTTTGTTAATATCAAATTTAGACTTGTTATTTCTCAATTAAGACTTGTCATCTCCAGATAAATTGTTGTCATGAGCTAGAATCACAATTAAATAGTCAACTTATATTTTTGTTTGCATTATAAGGTTAAGAAATTTTTAATGGCCTAATGGTCTTTTTTTTTTGTTAGCCCAAATGACTAAGGGGTAGTGAGATCAAATCCCATCCCTACCAATTTTATGCAATATTCTCACATGGCCAAAAAACAAAACTATGACAAAAAAAACTGCCTGCAACCAGTACACCGGTGCCGGTGTCGGCGGCCAGTCGTCGGCGGTGGCCGGCCACCGGTGAGGGCTGAGCCCTTTTTTTGAGGAAAAAAAAAGATCAAGAACATTTTTGTTATTTTACCAAATTTCAAAATTCTAATTTGAGAAGCACTTTCCTTTCTGTCATTATATTTTCTTAGCTTTCCAAATTAAAATATCATATATTCCACATTCTGTATGTGTTATTTTCCTAATACGAAAAGTTTAATAATGCCTTTGAAGATTGAGAGTGGCAGGGCAGCGATGATGTCCACGGGAAGGCACCAAATCATTTCAATCACCACCGTCCATTTGATCTGATGACTCACAACAAAACACCTCAACTAGAGGCCGGCCACTTCTCAGTCTCTTATTTTATGGCTAAATATCCCTTCTATCCGATTTCAATTCATTGTTATCTAGTCGGAATTAGAAGTTCGTTATTAAGCGGTCAAAATTGGCCTTTAACTCAATCGTCTTAAGAGTAATTGATAAGCCCCAGGCCCAAAAGGCTTAACGAGCATCTTATACATATCTATAACATTATGATAAAAATCTTGTGCAAAATTTCATTTTGTAGTTTAATATTAATATTATAATCCATATCATGGAATGTGAGTAGGAAAACTTACAATCAATAAATAAATAAAAATTAACAATGAAAAAATAGGTAAACCAACCTTGCTTAACTGTGAGTTGGCAATTAATTTGTATCAGACTTGGATCCTCCTAATTCTCTCCACATATACATCTTATCATACTATTAATCTCATTTATCCATTTAATTATTCATTTTATTTACAGTTACTTTTAGAATATTTTACAAAATATATACAAATTATTATATTCTGTTAGGATATTTATTAACAAATGAACATACAAAGATTTGTGTACATAAAAACTTCTCCCCCGAAGAAGCTATATATGAACAAAAATTAATGTAAAAGCTGATGGCTCTAACGAATCATGCCTCCTTCTAAGCCTACAGGCTGCATAATATTCAGCGCCACTCGTCTTTGCCTTTCAACATTGCCTTGCCACCCTATAATTTTATATACACCATCATTATTTACAAATTTCTACCTCATTTTACCAAACAAACAGCAACATATACATATACAGACATTCATACATATATATACTGAAGCAATCAAAGTGAATTAAGAAGCATAACGGCTCCTAACAAAGAAGGATTAAGAGTTACATAACTAATGTGTGAATATTAAAGAAATTAATTAAGTTAGTATGTATCAGAAAAAAATTAAGTTAGTTATTTGTAATAAATAAATATTGTCTTTTTTAAAATATCCTTATTAATCATGTGTATTAGAATAAAACTCCTTAACATATGTAATTATCATGAAAACTATTTTGAAAAAAATAAATAAATGTGAGAGTCAATGTGAATTTGTGTCTTATATTTAAAACTAAATTGAATCTCTAACTAGTTTTTATATTTAGGATCAGAGGTAGCATATGTTGACATCTGGGATTCAAGTCTCTATAATGCATAATATTATTGTGTCTTTAAGGAGAGTTGTCCTCATATACTGCTCCTGATCGAGTTTATCAATACAATTAGTTGGAGTTTAATACGTGATTCCGATATGAATGCGACATGTGTTAGTCCTTACCAAAAAAAATGTTAGGTTTTTCTTAAAGATTAGATGACGACTCAGGTTTGCATCTATATCTGTATGTTAGACTTTCCTATTTAGGGCTCGACCGAGCTTGAACTGATAAGTCGGAGTCTAACAAGGTAAATTTAGATGCTCTTGTTCAGGGCTTGATTTGATGAGTAAGACTTCCATGTGGTTTCGTATGCTGGTTGGCTTACTGTTTTTTTTTAATAATTAAAGAAAAAAAAGTAATACCTCCTGTCCTTAATTTAAAAGCTAACGATAACTCATTTATAAATATTAAAAAAATTAGTTAAGTTAGTTGTTAGTGACTAATATATATCCTTTTTCCTAAAATGTTCTTGTTGTTGTGCATTGAAATCACCTTATTATGGAACTTTAAACATGTATAATCACCAAATGAATTACTTTGAGAAAAAATATATAAGTATGAGGGGCAAAGTAAATTGAGGTTTTATATTTAGAATCAAATTAAATCTTTAACTAGTTCTTATACTAAAGACCAAAAAGATAGTAATTGAGAAGGAAAGAAGAGGAGAACGAAGGTACGTAGACAGACCTAAGGACATGAGGTAGCCACGGTTCTGAAGCTCGCGGTACTCTTGGCACAAGGCACAGAACTCGCACACAAAATGGACCAAGAAATCGTTACAAGGTTGCTCCTCCAGCATGTATTGTTGCCTCAGCTTTGTTCTGTAGAAGCACGAATAGTACGTACACACACAGAAACACCCCAGCAACGACGCCACCATCAGCATCAAGTACAGGCTTCCGCTCACAACACATGCTTCATCCATTCACAACCTCACAACATCATCACATGCAACAATTCCAACAATGACAATTCATATCGAATGTGTTTGTGAAAATTAAGAGATTTCTGTGGGTTCCAGTATCTAAGGGGACTTACGCACTGTGCCATAGTCTAGGGCTTCTGATACACGTCCGAATGTGACGCAGGGACAAAACATGGTTAACCAACCTGGAAAACAAAAGAAAACGTGTGTGTATATCGTCAGAAACAAAACATCATGGGTCTTGAGTTTGAAGAGGATAAGGAATTAGAAGTGCTTACAACTTCGGCAATCTTCAGGACAATCGCAGAGACCAGTAGACCAGGGTCCTGTTGTTACCTCAGGAAGTTGCATGATTGGTGGATACACGTAGGGCTGATACGACTGGTCTTGATGATGAGCATTATTATATTGATTGGTCTGGAAATATGGAGGACACATACCGCTGTTGTACATTTTTCAAGCATTGAAATATGGAATAAGCTTGAATGAATAATGTTGGTGATAATGTTGTTGAACAGAAGAAGAAGAACGAGAAGGAGAAGGAGAAGAGCAAACCATATGAGGAAGAAGACAGGCATTATATATATAGCTGTATCTATAAACGTCCGCCTCTCTCCTATGAGCTATACCTCCCTCGGGCAAACCGATTTTCACGTTTTGAGTATTTTATTATGGTTAATTCTATATAAAGCTTTACATGCAACACCTAGAATTTGTTTACACCATTGGAATTATATTCCAAAATTTTCTACTACCTCCTATTCTTAATATAAAAAGCTAATTAAAAATTAAACCTAAATATAAAACCCAATTCACTTTGTCTTTCAAATTTGTAATTCATTCTCAGAAGTATCTTTATTGATTACATATGTTAATGGGTTTCCATTCAAAGATAGTCATGATTAAAAAAGATATTTTGAAAAAATCAATTTATTTGTTACAAATACCTAATTTAACTAATTTTCTTAATCTATTTAAATTAATTAATAACTCTTATATGAAGGACTGAAGGTAGTACTCCTCCGGTCCTTAATGTAAGACCCATTTAACTAATTTGATTAGATTAAGGAAGTTAGATAAGTTAGTTAATTATAAGAAAAGTAGCACATTTTTCCTAAAATACCATAATCATCTTTTTTAATACCTCCTCTCCCTCTTCTATTTGATTATGGTTGAGGGAGTATTTATAGGGGTAATTTAGAGAAAATTGATAAATATTGTAAATGGGTCTTATATTTAGGACAAAAACCAACTTAAGAATTGGGTCCTATATTAAGGACAAGAGAAGTGTTAATTAATTTGTTTCTTGTATGAGCAAATTATTGTATAATATGCATTAGTCGCGTGTAGAGTTTGCAAAATGAATCATCCTCTTCATAACTTGTAAATATATGATTTTCTATAACTGATATTTACATGCATTGATTATTTGAATTAATTAATATATACAAATCATATTTTTCTCATAAAATCTACTTTTTTTAATTGATTTTCACAATCTGTCTTTGCCTCTCATTGCAAATTTGCAATATCTCCTCTGAAATGTATGTGCAAAAATACGTTTATTAAAAGTGCTAAAATACCCTTTCTGTCCATGAGTTAGAATCAATAGGATGTTCTTAGAATTTGAATGGCCTCACTCTAAAACACTTTGGTGTGCATGTGCTTATGTGAGTGCGTTTTTAATGAAGCAACCTAAAGGGCTGCTTTGACAGAAGCATGAAAAACCACATTTTCACCCCTCAACCGAGCACTTCCTTAAACCAATGAACTTGACTGATATGCATGGACTCCAAAATCTGAGTGGAATACTTTTGGGTCCAATTATAAAGCGTTCAAAACCAATCAATGAAAACCAGTCAAAACTAGTAAATATCATAACTATAAATAGGAGAATAAAAGGCAATTAGATTCAAATCAAAACTTGGGAAAAGTTAGATTCAAATCAATAGCCAAACCAGAAATTTCTTACAGCAGGGGATGATTATAAACGCCTAAAAGAGAAGAAACTCCTAAACTTGAAACTTCTATTAAGATTAGCGAAGTTGGTGCTGTCGAATTTACTCTATTTGTTGAGAATACATTATCTTAGAAAGATCTGATTTTTGGGCAATAGCCATAAGTCCATAACATAAACACCAAAAAAGCTATCGTGAATGCCGCACATGTTATCAGGAGAAACTAAAATATCAATATATATTATAAAATTTATAATTAGTTGGATTTTTTACAAGCTATAAATAATGCGGCTTAATTATTCTTAGACTCGGGGCAACATACCCAAAAAAAATTTCAAGTAGTACAAAATAAAAGGGAAGCACGCCATAGTAGCAGGCACCATGAAAGCATGAGTTGTAAAGTTGGCGTCTTCTTTAATCTAAGTCAATAACAATCATGGGAGTGGAAGCCCTGCCCAAAATATGATTATATGCATACAGCTGATAAAGTGAGACGTAAAAGCTAGAAAGTAGAAACGAAAAGCGGCAAAATGTAAAACCACTAATTCAATGATCCGTCATTATTTTAAACTGTCTCTTCACTGTCATGAACATGTAATACTACCTCCATTCCTTAATACAAAAGTTACATAACTAATTTGAGAATATTAACAAAATTAATTTAGTTGGTTATTTGTCATGAATATGTGTTGATCACCTTGAATTATCCTCTTCAATCATATACATTGAATAATTAAAATTATCCCCGAGTGAAACCTTTTGCAATCAATAAAGATATTTTAGGAAAAAATTAGAAACAAAGTGAATTGAAGTCTTACATTTAAGACTCTCAACTGGCTCTTACATTTAGAACAAGAGGAGATAGTATAATAAAACGGTTGGTTTATTGTCCTTCACCTGTGATAACCCTGTTTCTCTTCGCAGGTTGTTTACTGATATGTTAAATAATCTTTGGTGTCAGTCTGTTTATAGCGGCCACTCAGTTTCACTGTCTTTAGACATATATTTGATTGATGCTTTGCAATCTAACATCCCTAATACAGGTTAACATGTTTTATGTTACAGAAATTTAAAGTATTATAACGGGTAAATATTAAGTATCAAATTGCTGCATAAGGTTGTAATCACTAGAAGAATCTTCTAGCCTGAATTTCAAAGAACAAACCAAAAGAAACACAGAGAAATTACCATCAAGGTGTCAGTTTTAATTAATTTCGCGCAACCCATCTCAACAATGAAACTGTAATTTTATTTCCGACCAAATATGGGAAGACTGTACAATTTGCAGTTTGTAAAGTAAATACTTACACAAAATATTTGACCAAGATACACTGACAAAAACTACAATGAAAAAGGAAAAACAATTCTTTTCTTCCTTATCTAATGTTTCACTGTTATAAATTAAAGACCAAACTCAGATATGGACACACACTCTTCCCAACATCACAATAAAACTTACAGCTTAAAACACGACAATTACCCTATGGCAAACCACAAAAACAAGAGGAGAAAAACGCAGTGATTCAAGTGGGATAAATGAAGGTGATCCCTCAAATTGAAGCATTTTCTTGAACCAGCCCATCGAGCCGATATAACATTCTAACCTCACTAGCCCGGGAACTCCGATGTTGTAATCGCTGATGTAGTGTCTCAGACATCTGGTTGAAAAATTGAGTGTCCCATCTACGAATCAACAAGGGGTCTTCTGCATAGCAGATATAAATGGATGTAACAGCACTTTCCACCACTACCATTGCCACTCCTACCTGAAACAATACATGCTTCGTGTCATATTAGGATTTGCTATTAGCGGCCTTCACTGTACATCACCATTTATTGGCCTGACCAAGAAACCGTATTTGTTTTGAAATTATGAAATTAATTTAATGAACCATTTGTAAAAATAAATCTACTGAGATATTCTATTACTTCCTTGTCGTGTCAAATTCCAGTTCTTGGTCATTAAGTTCCCACTTTTATTCTCTCCTCTCAACCAAACTCTACACACATAATGCAAACCTTCTCTACCAAGATGCCGACTTTTATTACAATATGAACTTAAACGATGTGCAGTAATGAACTACAATATTAGGCAACAAACAGCAAAAAAAATTTGATAGAGGCAGATATAAAGCACAAATGCATCTACTTTCATGTGTCAGCATGTCAGTCACTGCCACTGCAACGACACCGAATATAATAAGACAAGAAATTGAACAGCAAGGAGTACCACCGGTGAGTTTTGTGATGCATGGAAAGAACCTCAAGACTGGGTGGACTTCCTTCGAAGACTGTAAACTTACCAAGACCATTCCCATCAACATAGACGTGGACCCAATCATAAGTACTCTGTCACTCCATTTGAGCCATGCCCAAACACCAGAGCAAGTTCCTGTAATCAGCCCGCCAAAAATGGTACCCATTAGCAGAACAGCTCCAGAGCAATCATAGGCTACGAGTGCTTCAACTCCAGTTGACTGGAATAACTCCCATGCATCTCTAGCCGAATGGTTAAAATTTTTACCATTAACAGCAATCTGCAAGGACCATGAGAATCAACCGTGCAACAGTTAGTTTTCCAAGAACTTATGAACTACTTTCAACAAACTGGTAACACAAGTCCACGGATTAGATTTCAAAACCCCCCCCCCTCAAAAAAAAAAAAAAACCACCACCACCAAAAAAGGGCACTTGTTTCTTTTTAATTATCAGAAAAGGCATTTCAAACACACCAATTTGCACTATTTTAAAGTCCAACCTATCCAAATCTTGTTACTTTCCGCCATTAAGCACCGATGTCTTTAGGTGCAAAGCTGAGAGGCATAGATTAGGCAGTGATGGAGACTTAGGTGATATGTTATGCTTGAGTCCCACAATGAATAGTATGAGATGCTTAATGGGATATTTAAGTATTAAGTACATTAGTTATCCCACTTTAATGGCTAACTTTTGAGGTAAGACTCCCTATTCCATTTAGGTACTCATCAATTGGTATAAAAGTTGGTGGTCAGTAATTACAAGATGTTAGCTTTTGGAGCATTGGGCGCCCATTCGAATGTTCTTCTATATACAAAATTTTCTCTTTCGAAATTCTTAACAAGATTTAATCCCTATTTTATGTTGAACTTTTCAGGAATTAATCGTTGAAAAAGTTCAATCATCACTATTTCACATACAGCCTCAACAACTTCAGACTTAAATGTATAAAACATTAGTTCTTCTTCATCGCTTTGTGATGCATAGTCAGCCTCATTCATAATAAATAGTTAAAACAAAATAAGCCCATGGGTAGAAGCTGCCCATAAAAATTCAACATTCTTCCTCTTTTCCGTGAGGGACAATCTCAAATTAAAGAAAGCAAGCAATATATCACATCTGATTGTCATCTAAAATTATCACATGTGAAAGGCATTAATGACATAGAAGTAGAAATATACCAGAACATAGGCATACTTGTTGAAGAAACGGACAAGAGTCTCCACAAGATGAAAAAGG